CTATGTAGAGTGACGGCGTCCAGACCGATGACTCAGAAAAGAAGACAACATGCAAGAATACGACGGTGGCAGCAGCGGTAGGGACCAAAAGAAGTAGAGATAGTGAGGGCACCGCGGAAAAACAGCAGCAGTGGAAGCAAAGGCTATGATGATCGGGGAGTGGGGAACGATGGTAAGTCGAGAGAGCAAACATAAAGAAGTAGACGAACCAACGGATATAGAAAGGAAAAGGTAGTTGATAGGAAAAAGTGTGAAGAATGCCAGAGAAGGTGTGACATGCATGGTCGGAATGGTAAATGGTATAGAAGAGGCACCGGCTGCAGGCAGACAAGATAGATGAATAGATAAATAGAAAGTGAGGGGGCGGAAAAAGACAAGAGATGACAATAGGAAGTATTCCTGGAAAGAAAAAAAAAATTGAGGGTTGGAATGGATGCCAGGCCTGGCCAGAGTTCAGGAAATATTTCATCGAAGTTTTAAGAGGTTTTTCACACACCAATGCGTAAAAAGGGTATTTCTTCGAGAAATTTCTATTGAAACCTTTTTGCATATACAAAAGGGTGCTGAAAAGTTCTCAGCTGGCCAAAATGCCCTTTACAAAAAATATCATTCGGTGACTAGAGCTTTGGCTGAGAACATTTCATCAAACACACACATGCACATACACACACACATACACACACACACACACATATATATAATAACAAACATTGTATTTGGCAAAAATTTTATTTTGTTTACTCTACATACATGGATACACAGATAGATAGATAGATAGATAGATAGATAGATAGATAGATAGATAGATAGATAGATAGATGTGAACAGACAGGAAAATATGAAGATAGATAGATAGATAGATAGATAGATAGATAGATAGATAGATAGATAGATAGATAGATAGATAGATAGATGTGAACAGACAGGAAAATATGAAGATAGATAGATAGATAGATAGATAGATAGATAGATAGATAGATGTGAACAAACAGGAAAATATGAAGATAGATAGATAGATAGATAGATAGATAGATAGATAGATAGATAGATAGATAGATAATTAGAGGAGATGAGTCGACTGTCGCCGGGTTCACACTCCTTAACTGGAATAGGTGTATCCCTGTTTCGTGCTTATGATTGGATTTCCTTTCCTTTCCTAAAGTTTTTACATTTTCTTTCACTTCCAGTGGCCCCTTGAATCTTAGTGGCATTATCGCCTTGCGTGAAGTGAAATTATATATATATATATATATATATATATATATATATATAGATAGATAGATAGATAGATAGATAGATAATTCATAAGTTTTTACATATTTCTATGCACGTATATGTCCATTTTTTATATATATATATATATATATATATATATATATATATTTATATATATATATATATATATATATATATATATATATATATATATATATATATATATATATATATATATATATATATATATATATATATAATGTATCTGTTAATAAGTGAAGCAACACAAAAATCCTCTAAGCTTAGATTCTGTATTTATCTGCATGTATAATAGAGAATAACGTTACAAAAAAGTTAAATACCCATCTATAATGAAAAATATATCCCCGCGTCAATTTCTAAACACTGAAATTCATTTACAATGAAAGTCATCTACCTACACGTATAGATATTTTTACCTTATTTTATTTTTCAAATTTTCTCTCGACTCAAAACTTTTTTTGGTTCGCTCTCTTTTCCCCTCTCTATCTCTCTTTGCATATATATATATATATATATATATATATATATATATATATATATATATATATATTACAGCAAAAGAACAAAACAAAAAATTATCTCAACATAGATATAGTCTATTTCAAGCCCTTCTGTGCGCGGCTATCATCAGACCCTAAATACATATGCTCTGTTAAAATAAAAAAAAAGAGCTCTCTGTGGATCAGTTTTAATAATTAATATTACTAGGACCCGCCCGGATTATATACCAACGGATCGATTACCTGTATATATATATATATATATATATATATATATATATATGTGTGTGTGTGTGTGTGTGTGTGTGTGTGCATTTGTGCGCAGATATATATGATGGTTCATTAATGCGAAAATATATTTATATATATATATATATATATGAATGAAAAAAAAATTGTTTTAAGGTGTGCTATATTTATGGAATAAAATGCTCAATATATATATATATATATATATATATATATATTTTTTTTATATACGTCTCTACACAAATGATTTACACAATTTTATTTTCGGAATTTATCGCTCTATATATGCAATATAATATATATTTGTGTATATGTCTGTACACATACATACTTGTTTGTATAGATAGATAGATAGATAGATAGATAGATAGATAGATAGATAGATAGATAGATAGGAAAATTGGTTGTGAGAGTGATAAAGAAAAAAGTTGTACCGATATGTGCAAACGCGTGTACTGCGCACACACAGATACGCACTCAGACAACCGTATATCAACACACATACACAAAAACTTATCTACATTGACAAATACTTTGTCTCATAACTCGTTACTTTCCTAGATGGAAAATAGATAGAAAAGGATGCTAAATGATGAAGTATATTGAAATAGACACAAACTAAAAAACTTGAAACATAAAATGACGAAGGAAGTTTCTTTTGGGATCAGAAGAATTCTGACACGCAGCAATTCCTGGATTCTTCGCCACCCATACTCGCAACCTATTGTTTTTGGGTGCGACGTAAAAACATTGATGCCAAATTCATTCTATTTTGTTAAGGACAGACTTGCAGTGTTTAGGGAAGTATATACCTTCAAAGAATTAAGCTACTAGGAAGGAATATGCGAACCTGCACACGTTCTCTATCTTACTCTTTCTCCTTTTACTTATTTTAAGAATTAAAATTTTTGAAGCCAACTATTGAGTCTACTTTGAAGTAAAGATTGTGCCAATTATTAGAGAAACAAATAAACAAACCTAAACCAGTTTGCTTTAAGAAGGAAGGAACACGAGAAACTAACAATTTTATACATACATATGCTCGGGTGAGGGCACGCGCGCCTGTGTGTATATATGTGTGTGTGTGTGTGTGTTTGTAAGAGAGAAAGAGAGTAACCTATTATCGTTATTGGGTGAAAAAGTCATAAAGTTGTCAATAAGTAAATTAATTTTTAATATAAACATTCGTTTGGCACGTTTTGGTAAATTATACACATTTTGGTACATTTGTAAGCAATCAGCGTTTCTCTGGATGTACATAATGTCTGGATGCGTTGAGAGTTGTATATAGATCTTTCTTTACTTACATTGGATACTTAAATATCATTTATATGCATGTCTCTTTTGTTTTCAGTTCTACCGCTAACAAACTGTTCGCTAATAACTCACTCTTATCGTTTTATTTCTGCTGGATTTGGGCAGAGACGTACAGGGGAAAAAAACAGGGGATAAGAGCCAAACTCACATTATTGCATGTATTATTTTAGGCTGTTTCCAAGGCAACCAATATTTACTTTCGCGTCGAATTAAGGAAGACGGAAACAAAAATAAATAAATAAGCGATAATAGATGAATATTAACGAAGAAGGGATATTTCCCGAGGCAAAGAATTATACATGGATGAACCCAATGAAAACTTTTTACTTCAATGGAAATTTCAATCAAGTATCTATTATATATACTTGCAGAAAGTTCGAACCAGCCAACAACGACACATTGTGTTAATACGCCCGCGCGCACACACACACACACACACACATACACACACACATGCACATAAGCATATACAACAAATTCCTTAAGATATCGATCGTACCTCGCTGTGCATAAAAGGTTTCATGTTCAAAATAACAGTATATATGTGTGGGTGCTCTCAGTTAAAATCCGCATGTATGTTTATCTCTCTCTTTCTCTCTCTCTCTCTCTCTCTATATATATATATATATATATATATATGTGTGTGTGTGTGTGTGTGTGTGTGTGTGTGTGTGTGTGTGTGTGTGTAAAGGAAACATATACGAGGAGGTGTTGAAAAGTTTTCAGTATGGTCAAGAAAGGATTTCAAATAAATTCTAATATATTGGTCATTTAAACTGATTTTGTCAATCTCTCTCTCTCTCTCTCTCTCTCTCTCTCTCTCTCTCTCCTATTCTATCTATCTGTGTGTGTGTGTGTGCTCTATCTTTCTCTCTCTATCTATCTCTCTCTATATATATTTATAGATATATATATATATATATATAGTATATATATAGCATATATATGTAGTATATATATATATATAGATAGATAGATAGATAGATAACAATTTCTAAAGAAATAACGAATTTATTAATCCAATATATTTTTATTTAAACGTTATTTTAGTGGATAGCCATACTTGAGTAGACGCTCCGATTATTTTAAACAGTATTTTATTTCGACTACCGGTCTAGATAGATGAATAGATATTCTATATTTATAGATACACGCTCTATGTTCGATATCGAACACTTTTCTCCTATAAATAGGCCAAATTTTAAGCAATACACACACACACACACACACACACACACATATATATATATATATATATATATATATATATATATATATATATATATATATATATATATATATATATACTCATAATAAACTAATATAATTTAACAAGAATGAAGAGTACATATTTTTACTTCTGAAACATTTGTAATATTGATGTCCTTACTGACTTGTAAAAACTATTTTTTTGTGCAGCTTCTAACCGTTACTCTTAAGAAAAACAACATACAAGAAACATTTGATCATACTGAATTTTTGTTACTATACTGACATCAAATACTCATGTATATAGATACAAACATATATTTTGTGTGTATGTGTGTTGTTTGTATGCATACATAATATATATATATATATATATATATATATATATATATATATATATATGTATGTATATGTATATATATATATATATATATATATATATATATATATATATATATATATATATATATATAATTGTCTGAAATATACTGCTATTAAGAGTTGTCTTCCACGAACATAAAACTGTAAATGTAATTAAGCACACCTGTACAAGATAGATAGATAATAAACATACTGCGATAGATAGATAGATAGATAGATAGATAGATAGATAGATAGATAGATAGATAGATAGATAGATATTAACAATAGTAAGAGAAGCCAGCGAAAACAAATGTGTAAAACATGGAAAAAATATATTTGTCTTATATACAGAAATGTAGATAATGACTGTAAGGCAATTAAATATTGCTTTGAAAAGACGAAAACAATCTGAAACTTCTCTCTGATTTTCTTCCCCACCTCTCTCTCTCTCTTTCTCACTCTCTTTATCTATGTATGTATCTCTTTTTTCTGCGTGTGTGTGTTTGTGTGTATGTGCGTACGCGCCTGTAATGTTAACGTTAATACAACTTTTTTTTTACGTTTGTATTCGATATTTTCAAATATGTCTTGCTGTTTGGATTATTAGATGAGAATTTGGCTACGTGTTAAGTCAGTGACATTTTTTTAGTATAAACATTTTAATGTAATTCTTTTCTTATTTTTTCTTTATCTTTTCTATAGTAATCAACTGATGTATGTGTATACTTAATTATTGCCAACCTTTTTTACACATACGTGATGAATTCATATGTACGTACCGAGATATATATATATATATATATATATATATATCGGGCCACCTACTGATTGATGTACACCGTCGCCGCTGTTTGCATGTGGTCGACTGCAGTATTAATGTTCGGATGCCGCTTCATCAGCATCATGTAGGTGTTGTGTAAGAAGAATTCGGTAGGTCGGCAAAAGTGCTTTAGAGAAAAAGAAGACGAACAAGAAGAACAAGAAGAACAAGAAGAAGAAGAAGAAGAAGAAGAGAAAAGACAGCGAGTGGCAGTGGTTGGCAAGTGAGAAGCAGAAGACACAAAATAGTGGCACACTTACAGGCAGGCCTGCAGTCATTCCTGGCGAAGTGACGTTGGCTCAGGTCGGGTTTTAAGAGATATATGGAAGAGCATGCAGCCTGGTGGTGGACAGCAGACAGGCAGGCAGCCGGGCAGGCCGACAGACAGACCAATATAAGAAAAGGCGAGGAGGAGGAGGAGGAGGAAAAGAAGAATGAGGAGGAGAAGGTATACACTTACACACATACACATAAGTCGAGTTTTTCAGTAAAAGACCAATGAAAGGAGATGGTACCGTACAGGAAAAATAAGATAGAACAGATGGAATATCGTAGAAGGATGACAGCTGATACTTGTTAACATTATACACACACACACAGATATATATGTATATACACAAACACGCACGCGCGTGCGCACACACACACACATATATGAGTAGTGGTGAAAAATTCTAGGCCCAAGCGACTTTCTAAAATCGACCAATTTAACAAAGATCAGATTTTTTTTCAGGGAAAGAGCCATTATATATATATATATATATATATATATATATATATATATAGTAGTAGTAGTTTTCCATCGCCTGAGGGGACACATTTGTAGTGCTGAAACATAATTGCAACTGTGTAGCGATTTTAAACATGTTTTTGTTTTAATATCCTAAAATTATATAGATAGATAGATAGATAGATAGATAGATAGATATACTTCAAACGTTATTTTTAGTGGAAAATTAAATAAGAAAAATGCGCCCTTCGTCAAAATTCGAACCTACGTCCCTCTTGGTAGGAGGATCCACGACGCAAGTTCTAATTCTGTGATAGGGTAATTATTACTTTATTAAGTTTTCTCGATGACGCAGGCCGATAGACGAAATAATCAAAACGTCTACTCAAATACGTGTATTCACTAAAAATAACGTTTAAAGTAATAAATATGTTAGCAGATTAAAAAATGAACAATAAAATCCACCAATTCTTTAGAAATATGTACTTAAATGTACTTTTTTCGTTCAGAGATATCAGAGTATACTGGCAGTGCAAAAAGCGCATTTGTGTATTGGGATGTGTTTGCAGGGAACAGGAAAGGCTATTGGTGTGGGTGAAATCCTAAAATGAATTTCAACTTAATCTTTGTAAAAAACAAAATAAAATTTCGGAAAGATTTTATACAACAAATGTAATAACTATGAGAAAAATTAAAACATAAATTTTCGCACTTAAAGAGAGAATTCTTAAATAATGTCATTGTTTTATGTATTGAAAATAATATCCCAAATAATTTTTGATAGTGTAATTAATAAGAAATTAGAAGAAGTATACTTTACCACACGTAGGTACTTTTAGTTTTATCGAATGGATAAGATACATTTTACACTGGCCAACAAAAAGGAAATCTGTTTCGCTCTAATAAGGTCTCTGTTTTCGTGACCTGTTTAGTAGTTGAGAAGTTTGTGTAAATCTCATTAACACCCGTGATAGATGTTCGAACCCGGATAAGAAAATGATCTTAAATGTAATTTTTCAATAGAGGTAGCCCTACTAACTCGGAAGAATGACGCATCATAATCTTCTCACACTCATTTATTTTCATTCGGCCGTGTGCCAGACTATGCTAAGCTCTAGTGATGCGTTATTTGAAAAAGGAAGCACTAACCTTTCGGTTCTCAGTCCATTCTGCTGCATATAGAGAGATGGTGTTTGTTTTTGTTTGTTTTGTTTTGTTTTGTTTGTTTGTTGCTCTGAACATGAAATGAATAATCATTGGGTACTGATGAATCGTGATCAGTGATGCAATATGGAATTTCGTCCCGCGAGGGTCAGTATTGCGTAGACTGTCTACCTCAGCTCGTTACCATACACTTAGCAAGGAAAAGCTGACATCAAATTTTCTTTCCTTATAAAGCATGCAGTTGATAAAATATCTCACATCAACTTCGTGGAAATATCTAGACATCATCGATATGTTTTAAGTCACATAAACTTTTGAACTTAGACAAACTGTTGTTTACCTTAAATAATAGTTGACAACTCTCTCATCTGAGTAACGGGAATCAATACCAGCAGAACTTCGATTCAACGTGCGTCGAAAAATATATACATTTGTGCATGTGTGTGTGTGTGTGCACGCGCGTGCACCCTCACGCGCGCCGTGTGTGTGTGTGTGTGCGTGTGTTTGTGTGTGTTGTATGTTTGTGCGTGTTTTCAGGAGTTACACGATTTCATTTTTAGTGAGTAGCGGCAACAGAAGTTGTTGTCATAAAGCGAAGAACTTAACCTGACTCAGAGATGGCTTCTCTGGTGTGTCGGCAGCCAGAATCCGATGCCCACACAGATTTTTATCTCGTCACGCACACGCACAAACACACACAAAAACAAACACATAAGCACATAAATAGATGCGCGTGCACACACGCACGAATTTTAATCGTGACCAGGTTATGTCTCCTTTACTAAGAGTCAGAATAAAATCGGCTTTAACAGGTGTTAGATAAACAGAATGTTGTAGATAATTCATTTTGTAGATTTTTCAAGATTCATTTGATAGCATGCGCACGCACATGCGCGGAGACACACACACACACACACAAGCTATATTGATATTTTCAGACAATAGTTTAATCCATCAACAAATGCTTAAAATAATGAAATAATTTTGTTGCCATGATATCATTATTATTAATTAACTAGTTTCTGTTGATCTTATTTAGAGAAAACTGATGTATAATGAACGCACACACATACACACACACACACATATATATATATATATATGTATGTGTATATATATATATATATATATATACATATATATATATATATATATATATATATATATTAAATTTTTCTGTATTTCTAGTAGAAATATCGGTGATCGAGCGTGTGAGATCGAGCGTGTGAGATCGAGCGTAAATATGAGATTTTTGCGATTTCTATACCCACGCTATCTAGTATCTCTATGCCTCTTTATCTAGCTCTCTATTGACATATATATAAGTTTGTACACACACACACACACACATATATATATATATATATATATATATATATATATATATATATATATATATATATATATATAAGATATATCGCACATATCGTATGGACTGCGCCAGTATTCTGTTAATCAGATTTTATTAATATTTAAATTATGTAACAGTCAGTCTCTACCCAACACCTGAATATTGGGTTGTGCATGAAATTCCGAGTCGTTCTACCGGTGAAGGATATATATATATATATATATATATATATATATATATATATATATATATATATATTACAATTAAAGGATGAATTACAAAACATCAACAATTGGTAAATGAATGGAAATATTAAAAAGGAAACAAAAATTAAAATGAATGGCTTCTTACTGAAGATGGTTTTAAGCATTAACAAACGATGTGAGCCTCTTTTTCTCATTCTTTCTCCCACACTTTGCTTCGCATTTCACATGCGCATTTTTGTGCCTCTTCGTCTCCCCACTCTCTCTCTCTCTCTCTCTCTCTCTCTCTCTCTTTCTCTTTCTTTCTTTCTTTCTTTCTTTCTCTGACATATAAACTTTTTAAATTTAGTGAAAAAAGTTCTTAATCATTACTTTCTTCTGCTGCGATGATTTTGAGAAAAGTCCATATATTATGTACATTGCTTCCCGAAAAACGAAGTTGACATTGCCATTTTTAGATTTAAAATAGATTTCGCATATTTTCGAATTATTGAAATTTGAGACGTCAACTATTCAGCTTTCCTTGATTAATTTGAAATTAAATTGTTCCTTCACTAAAGTGAGCGCACAAAATATTCCTGTTAAATGTGGATTTTCATCCTCACAAATTTCAGTCCACCGTTCCAACACTAAGCTAAACACACAGTTTTAAAAGTTTATTGAACAGCGGTTATCTTCGAGAACATGTCGGCAAAGACATAACCATCTCCTCATACCCGCTTCGTTCACCTCTCTCTCTCTCTCTTTTTCTCTCTCTCTCTCTCTCTCTCTCTCTCTCTCTCTCTCTCTCTCTCTCTCATGCACGTTTTATTTGCTCTTTGATACAGCACTTTTACACACAGGCATACTTAACGCACCCAAACACACTTAACAAGACTTACCTTCTCATATGCACCTTGAGTTATATGCCCTCATAGAACAATCTGACACCATCATTTATTTTTGTTTTATTTTCAATTTGTATTTCTTTTTCTGTTAATCCTGTTAAATCGAATTTCGTGTTTAGTACATTCTTCATTTATCTTGGCAATTTGGATACTTGTAAAATATAACACTCTAATAATATAGAAGTTAACGTTTTGTTTTCTGATAGCTCATCAATATAATTAAAATGTTGTTGTCTTTAAATTGGGAGAAAATTTCCGGAGCAAAAGCAGAGTTTGGATATATAACTATACTCGCCTTCTCTAACTAAAAGCATACGAGGCTTCTTTTTTCTTTTTCTTTTTTTAAAAAAAAAAGTCTGCCAACAGACACTATCTTTATATTTAAGGTCATCGTTAGACATATAAAAGACAAGTATTCTTCCTGTTACCATAACTGGTGAGAATCTCCCCAAGTTCAGAAGATCAGTATAAATAAGCGATAAATTTATAGTCACACACACGTACGCACTTACATATATAGGTGTGTATGTGCGTGAGTGAGTGAGTGAGTGAGAGAGAGCGTGAGAGTGCTTGTAGATATAAATAAATATGCAGTATTGCTATATGTTTATATTAACATATCCACATATACGTATTCATGAACACATATAGCTACATATATGTGTGTGTGTGTGTGTGTGTGTGTCTGTGTCTGTGTGTATGTGCTTGCGGGTGTATAAATATGTATATGCACACACGCAAACACCTATATTTATATTCGAAAATTTCAAAACATTCATTCATTCAATTAAAAATGCAATAAAGCTTATATATATATATATATATATATATATATATATATATAGAGAGAGAGAGAGAGAGAGAGAGAGAGAGAGAAAGAGAGAGAGAGAGAGATACACAGAAAGGCAGACAGACTACAAAATATCGAACTATGTCCCAGATTTCTGAAAAGCGTGACTTAAACAAAGTTCAATAAAATTCTAAGGTTAACTAATATACATAGCGCTCACATACAATATTAGAAATCGGTCTTGTTTTACTGTACTAGCATTTAAGATGGTCAACATATGCATTGATGACATCAGTTCACTAAATGAATATCAGTTGAAATTATGCACTAATACAAAAAGATAGTAAAAAAAAAAGGAACAAAATATTTTTAAGTCCGGTGAAAAATATTTTCAAAATTAGTTTCTGGAAAAGTTAAATGTAATTTAGTTAGGAATAAATATTTAATCAAAAAAATCAATAAATACTCACAGCGTAAGAAAGGTGTTGAAAAATTATTAAAATATGCGTCAACATTTATTTTATACCTTTCTGCTTCAGATAGCAACAAAGATTAATAGTTTTACTGCTTACAAAAATCATATATGTGTATTTGTCTGTATGCGTGTGTGCGGGTGCATGTCTGTAGGTAAATAAAAAGATTCCAAATTTACTGTATATATTTCTTACAACTATAAGAACGTATGTATATATAGAAAAAGAAATAATGTATTCTTCATACATCATATGAAGCAACTGGTCATAAATGCGCTTGTATTTCACGAACAAGCGTTCTACATATGTCACTTACATACAAGGATTGAGTTGGTAGAGGCAGTGTCCCTTCTGTTAACTTAGTTCTTTGAGCATTATGGCAAAAGAAGCTGGTTCCAGCCTGAGAGTGAGCACCTCGGCCTCGAGCAAATATTACCTATCACTGCAAAACAAGGAATTACTGTTTTACTCTCAATATTCAGTCTATTGATTGCAAAAAATATGCAATCGTAGCCGGCAAATTATTCCGCAAACCATATTGGAACCTTAAAACATTATGCTCAAATACAAACGATATGTAAATATTAAAACAAGTAGACACAATACACACACTAACATGAAACATATATAGATGCACACACAATCACACACGCACATACAAGTACACAGACAGATAGATAGATAGATAGATAGATAGATAGATAGATAGATAGATAGATAGATAGATAGATTTGTGCGAGAGTTTGTACAATCTTTATGTGTGCAGAAATATTTGTATATTTATATCTATTAATATGCATACAGTCATACGCACACACAAACATACCACACAAACATATATGTGTATGTCTGTGCGTGTGTTGGCAGGTCTGTTTATGAGTGCATGTGTGTGCATGTGTGTGTATGCGTGTGGTTCTTAGATTCCCATGTCACATTCCTCCCAATACGATCGTAGGTTTCAACAATTCCTTTCCTATTTTGAATTGTCACCTAGTAATTTTTTCATCATTATTCTTATGATTTATAGTTTAAACTAAATTCCTTTCAGTTTCCTTACTTGGCTAAAATTCCTACCCTTAGACTTGAAATTCCACCTCTGGGAACAAAGTGTCTAACGTTTGAAAATCATATATACACCAATATATACATACGGGCACACACACACACACAGACACACACAGGCGCGCACACACAAATATATACTAGAACAGAGAGATAGATATTCACTTAAATATATATATATATATATATATATATATATATATATATATATATATATATATATATATATATATATATTATATTTATATATTATATTATATATTATATTATATATATCAAATATATATATATTATATATATTACATATATATATATATTATATACATATGGATATATTATATACATATATATATATTATACACACACACATATATTATAGATAGATAGATAGATAGATAGATAGATAGATAGATAGAATAGGATATTATACACACACATATATATAGATAGATAGATAGATAGATAGATAGATAGATAGATAGATAGATAGATAGATAGATAGAATAGGATAGAACATAACTAGATAGATAGATAGAATAGGATAGAACATAACTAGATAGATAGATAGATAGATAGATAGATAGATAGATAGATAGATAGATAGATAGATAGAATAGGATAGAAACATACTAGATAGATAGATAGATAGATAGATAGATAGATAGATAGATAGATAGATAGATAGATAGATAGAATAGGATAGAACATAACTAGATAGATAGATAGATAGATAGATAGATAGATAGATAGATAGATAGATAGATAGAATATCCTGCAATAACACAGCTTTTTAGCAAAAGCCCCTTACATTACCATTTCTGTAGAAAGAATTTATCTTTCTCCAAAGTCTTAGACGGTGGGTGCTGTTCACCGTTGACCATCGTGTAAAATTGACATTCCTTGCTCATGTGAGTATGTAATTAACTTTTACTGATAACTTCATATCAACACATGTTTCCGAAATACAAAGTTATTCACGAATAGATAATTTGCCGTTCTGTGTTTATGAATTTGATTGCGTGTTTTTCTATGATTGCATCGATGTGAGTCGGTGCGTCTGTGTGCATATGTGTGTGTGTGCGTATTTTATAATTTCTTTCTGAAAAATACACGTTTTGATATCCACGTCGGTGCTGAAAAGTTCTCAGCCTGACCCGAAGGTCTAATCAAACTGCCAAACAGATTTTCGCGGGTGAAGTGATTGTTGTATGGCCCGAAAACATTCAGCATTCACTATTATATATAAATGCATCAGTGTATGCACACACACACGCGCGCGCACACGCATATTCACACTCAAATGTATATGTAGATACACATGTGCATATACGCACACATAGAAACACATACACGCATGTACATACACGCGCAAATGCACAAACATTGCATATGCATACGTACACTCGTATATGCACACTCATGCACATATACACGCACATTGCATATGTACACATATGCACGCGTATATGCAAACTCACACACTCGCATATGCACACACACGTATATACACACAAATTGCATATGTGCCTACACATTCAAATATATATACTTCAATGTAGTGATTTTAAATAGATTTATACAAGTGTCTCTGTATTAACTTTTTTAACTAACTTTTTTAGTCGAAGTGTCATTCGTTAAACAAAAGTTAGATATTAATACCCGTTATTCAGTGACTTGAAAATAAATCTAATAAATACTGATACATTTTTCTGATGTTTTATAAAATAATTAATCTAATTGATCCTATTTTAGATATGTGCTCAAATTTGACGTTGTTAAAATAAAGACTTTTTGGGTGGGATTATTGTTGTAATTACAAATCACACAATATTCATCTAATATAATATCAAATGGCGATATATTTTTCATTCTTTTCGACTATTTATTTCTAACTAGATAGGATTCACCAGGTAAACTCGATTGTCGAAAAGTGATTTCTCGTTGATATTTTTTCATATCTAACATAAAATGCACTTTTGTTTATGTACTTTATTGTCCCGATGAATTTAGATGTTTTTTTTTCCTTCCAGTAACAGGTATACCATTGGGATATTAGAATAACGTACTTATTTAGATATAAAATGGATTAGTTTTCGAAATGTACCTATACACAAACAGTAAGCGTTTTAGCTATTATATAATTTCGTCTCGCTTTGGTATATATTCCAGCAAGTTTTTATAGGGATTGGAAATAAAGGATGATATTAAAAAAAAAATGATAATAGTAAAACTGTTAGCAATATTCGACCGGTTATTAGTCAACTTGAAATATTTCGCTCATCCCAACTGTTTTCCATTGTGTTGGATAAGATCTACGGTACCAATGCGGTTTTAGTTTGAGGGAAAACAAATTTATACAGACATGTGAAGACATGAGCATTTGTCCACACGCATTTCGGATAGCTACAGTATTTTTTATGGAGTAAAATGAGTAGATTAAATTAGCCAGTCATGTATAATTTATGCCTGGAAAAAATCATCAAGGTCTAGCACATGATGAGTTTTCGGTTATTTTTTTATCTTACCTTTTTCGTACCTGATTGTCGATATAGTGTATTTTATAAAGGACAGTTTTTTTTAACGAGATGACCAAGGTTCAAATGGAACAAGCAAACATCTGAACCTTGCAGTTATAATTCATTGATTCAAGGATATTTATGCAAAATAAGTGTATAGAAATTAATCACAGCAAGGGGGTGTAATGCTGATTATCTACTAAAGGCATTGTTTATTGATAAAAATGATGTGTCATGTTTTAGGTTGATTAAAACATGAAAGTTTTCTTATACTTCGTATACTATGAATCTTTGATAAGACACACACGCAGCGACACAACATACATCGATATACACCTGGGATATATATCTATCTATCTATCTATCTATCTATCTCTCTCTCTCTCTCTCTCTCTCTATATATATATATATATATATATATATATATATATATATACACTTTTAAGGCATGCTATATTTATGGGTTAAAGTGCTCAATATGTGTGTGTGTGTGTGTGTGTGTGTGTCTGTGTGTGTGTGTGTGTGTGTGTGTGTGTGTGTGTACATGAGAGGACACTGAGGTAGTAGAATTGCCTGAAGATTACGTTCAAGCAGGAAACAGACTGTTGACACTTGATCTTGCCCCCTGTGTCCAATATATACATATGCACACACACACAAACATACACACACACACACATATTGAGCACTTTAACCCATAAATATAGCATGCCTTAAAAGTGTATATATATATATATATATATATATACACACACACTAGGGAAAGGTAAAAATTATCAAATTATCCGCACTCATAACACAGATTATACATACATTCATACATACACACGTAAGTTCGTGAATAGATATGAAAAGTAACGAGATTTTTTTAAAAAAACAAATATCTATTTTTCAACATAACTTTTGGCAATGTATTCATCCCAAAGCTTCGCTATTGAACACATAAGGTCGTATATTATACACTAAAACATCGAATATTATATACTTTGGAAGTTTGCTTGATTATTGATTCAGGCTCACATATGTGTGAGAGAGAGATAAATAGAAAGAGAAAGAAAGAGAGAAAAAGTAATGGAGATTGATAAAATTTAACGAACCAGCTAATTTTTTAAAATGCATTGAAAAATAAAAGGCTTTAGAAAATTTAAAAACGATTTTGATAAAAGTTAAAATATATATGCTCAAAAGTTAAGAAATTTAATTAAATGTACAATGACAAATATGTGTGTGTGTGAGTGTGTGCGTGTGTGTGTGCGCGTGTGTGTTTTTGTGTGCGCGCATGTGTGAGGAAGAGAGGAATAGATAAATTCTTAGCTATTATATATAATTCTAATGGTATATTTATATATACTTATAAACACATGGTATTTTAGATAGATATATAGATAGATCCATGCATATATATATATATATATATATATATATATATATATATATATATATATATATATATATATATATATGTATATATGTATGTATATATACATAGTCATATAGTTAAAATAAATATGCTGAAATGTTTTTAATGCACTTAAAACCAGATATATGATTTATGAACAGGTAAAATTCTAATTTGGATGAACTCTTTATTTTAATCTCTTTCCATCTCTCTTTCGTTATCTTTCTCTCTTGGTCCCTCCCTCTTTACTCACACACCCACACGTGCATGTATGTGCATGCATATGAGTTTGAACTTTTACATATGCATACACATATTCGCGTGTGACGTTCCTCTGCATGCATATATGTTTCATAGTATGTCCCTGAGTATCTGTGTGTGTGCGCAAGCATGCGTGAGTTCATCTGTGTGTGTGTATGTGTGTGCGCGCGCGCGTGCGCGTGCGCGTGCGCCTGCAGGTGTATCTATGTTCATAGACAGCATCATATGTGTAAGCATCTATATGCAACTACTTTTGATCTTTATCAACTTTCATTTGTTTCATGTTGATTTGGGACTTTTCCCACCTGCTGAAAAAAGTCGTTCGTCTTTCGTTTCTTTTGAATTCAGAGCGTATGCTTTTTGAAAATTGTTTTGCATTTCAATCAACTCAAAATATACTTCTTTCATTTAAAGAATAATTACACTTTTATTTATTTTTATTTTATTCATTTATTTTATTTTATTTATTTTTCATTTTGATAAAATTCTTTTGGTAATGTTACCTAACTCTGTCATCGTATATCTGCTTTCATCTGCTACTTAAAATTCATTTTTATCCCATTCTTTCAAATATAAAGATAACTGCTTGTTGTGTAAATATTCAAGATTTTATTTGAAAAAACAAGTATCTCATTTTTTGTTTTGTTTTATAAAAATTCAGTTTCGATTTATATTGTTTCTGTACATTTTACTTATTTACTTTTCATAAATTACATGTTTTGTTTTTTTCTTACGTAACGATTCTCTTGTCGTCATGTTACATTTTATTGTCTTATAAGCAATTAAAATATCATTCAAGCAGTTTATTAGTTATAAAAAAAAACTGAATCTTTCGAGCTGAATCTTAATGCTTTAATTTGTAAATGACATTAAGGAAATCTAACGATAAAAATATGCTGGAGAAAACACGAAGTCGCTTGATTTAAAAAGAAAAATTTTATTGACAATTTTTGAGATGAAAATATGCACAGATAAATATTAAATTAATCAAAATTGGCAAATATAAAATAGGAGTACGTGTTTTTATTTTAAAAGTACAGTGAAAAACTTTTTTTTTATTGATGTAAATGTTTAATAAATTCAAAACTTGTAAATTGTTATTTCAAAAGCGAAAAGTAGCTTTTTCATAATTAAATATTTAAGCAATGGCTACATGTAAAATTTAAGGAAAAATGAGCAACAGCGTTTTAGACATAAAAATATAAACAAAATAGTCTTTTCTAGATTCTTAAACAAAATTGTCTTTTTTACATTCTCAAGTATTTTCTAGATTTTCAGACAAAATAGTCTTTTCTAGATTTCCGGACAAAATTGTCTTTTCTAGATTTTTTAACAAAATTGTCTTTTTTAGATTCTTTAACAAAATTGTCTTTTTTAGATTCTTTAACAAAATTGTCTTTTTTAGATTCTTTAACAAAATTGTCTTTTTTAGATACCCAAGCAGAATTGTCTTTTCTGTATTCTCAAGCAAAATTGATTTTCGGACAAAATTGTGTTTTCTAAATTCTTAAACAAAATTGTCTTTTCTAGGTTCTTAAAAAGATTCTTTTCTAGATTCTCAAACAAAATTGTCTTTTATACATTTTCAAGTCTTTTCTAGATTTTCAAACAAAATTGCTTTCCTAGATTCTTAAACAAAA